TCAGTGCTGAGGTATTAACGTGAATAAGCATTTCTGCAGGAAGCATTCCTGAGATGCCGGGTCCGGCTGTGCCGGGCTGCCTGCGACTGCCAGCGGGAGGTAGATGACCTGCAGATGTCTGAGTTTTCTTTTTACTTCTGCATCTTAGTGATTCCCTGCTGGTGTGACCTTTTCTGATGCCCACTGGGAGGAGGTCACCACGCTGTCAGGCGTTAGCATCTCAACGGTGGGGAATCACCTCCTTGGGTGCTGCTGAAAACCTTCCAGCCCTCTGCACCCTGAGGAGGGGGCAGAACCTTCGAGCCCGGTGCTGTGCTCTGCACTCTCCTGGCAGGGGAGAGGCACAGGATCCCCACGGAGCTCCCCAGCTCCGGTGCCAGGGACCCCAGAGAAAAGGGGGAGTGGGTGCTCCCAGGGAGAGGAAGCAGGTTCACCCAGGGCGCAGGAATTCCAGGAATGCGGCCGCCCTGGGGCACTGCCTGGGTGGGGCTGCTCGGGCAGAGGAGCTCAGGGTTTCGATGAATAACCTCGGATCTGCTGATGAATAACCCCGGATCTGCTGGCCATTTCGTCAGGGTATCTGGCCCATTAGCACTCTCATCCTGCAGATAGCCCTGGCCAAATGCTGAGCTCCTTCCCCCTCCCTCTGCCTTTGGCTTTTAAAGCCACAGATTAGTCTCGGAATTGAGTGATCAAATTGAGGTTTCCAAGGGAGTGTGGCTGTTGCTGTTAGTGACGGATTGGGCTGTATCCTGGAGACCTAGGCGATAATGCAATCTGATTTTTTGTAAATGAACTCTCTGGGGGATTTAGATTAAATCACTGGTGGAAAATCACTGGTCCCTGCTTGCAGGGAATGAAATACCTCCTCCCTCTCTTCCCCACCCCCAACCATCACGGTTAAGACTCTTTAATTTTTTTGTGTCTGTCTGTAAATTCGTTGTTTGGAGCAAATATTTGTTCAACAGATTACAGAAGGGTCAGGATTCCTCTCTGTCAGACCCGCCCACCAGCTCTTGCTTTGAAGATCGCCGCTGTGTTTCCCACCCAGGGGAACAGCCTTGCTCTCTTCTTCTAACCTTGAACTGGGCTTCTAACTTCACCGCTCGGGCTGTGCCGCTGCCAGGCTGTGCCAGAGGCTGAAGGGGACCCGGGCAGGGTGGGGAGAGCTGCCAGAGAGGGGACCCACCCCACCAGCCACCAAAAGAAAGGGCTGGGCAGTGCAGCGGCTGCCAGCCTGTTGCAAACCCCGACCAGCGCTTGTTTGACATCTCAGCTGTAGCTTTCCTCCACGCTCAGGTTTCTCCGTGTCCCTTCTGGGGGGGCAGCTGTGTCACTCCACGTGAAGGGACAGCACGGCACGGTGGTGGCACCGGAGCCATGAGAGCTCCCGAGTGCCTCACGCGTGGAGCGTGCGTGGGGATGGTCCGCTTGGCTCTTGCGCGATTCCAGCTGCAGGGAGAAAACCGCTGGCCCGCTGCCAGCTCTCCCTTCGAGGAGCCAGTGCCAGCCCACGCTCGCTGTGACAGCGCGGTCCCTCTCCTGCCGCCCTGTTTGCACAGGGAGCCTGCTGGGTGCATCTGAGCTGTTGGGGCCTGTCCCACGCAAACAGAGCTCTCCGGAGAGGTGCAGCAGGCGGTCCCGCTGCGAGGGATGCAAGTTCTGGCAGGCCTGCTTGGCAGGAGCGAGGTGGTTTGCGTTTTAGAGCGATGCAGCGCTTCTCCTCCTGGAAAGCCCCTCTGCAAGAGGGAAGGAGCGCGGCTCCATCGCAGGCGTCGCGCAGCCTGGCTGCGTAGGAAGCTGTGTTTTATCTCCCACCGGTGGAACAAAGACACGTGGGAGGGCTGTGGGTGCAGGTTTGCCTGCGGAGGGGCCCGGTGATGCCGCTCTCTGCGGGGCTGTGGTGGTTTTATTGAGAAAGCATTTATTGAGGCAAGAGGGAGATGGCTCATCTCGCTGCGTAACGCTAGCATGGGTGCATTTTGTCACGTTTGCTGGCCCTGCCTTGGTTTGCCCTCCTCTCCGCAATCTGGTGCGGAGAGAACAAACAAGAAGAACCTGAGGGGGGTGTTAATAACCAGCCAGAAGAGAGCTGCTGCCCGGGTGAGCCATCAAAACCAAAGAGGAAGCTTTCCTGAGGCAGCTGCTTTGGCCAGGACCAGATTTGTGAAGTTCAAACAGCAACACCAGTGGGGATCGGGAGTGGTGGGGGGAGAAATCTGGTGGGGGGGAGTGCGCAGGGCGAGCAGGAGGGAGCCTGGCAGGCAGGGGTGTACTGACCGTGCTTAATCTGCTGGAGGAAGGCGAGCGAGCCGCAGTTCCCACTGTAAACCTCCATTCAGAGCGGGGTTTGCAGGGGGTGTTCGGGGGGGTTGGAGGGAGAGCTAGAGCTGTGGACATAGAGGGAAATGGTTTCCTGCTTGTAGGGCATGTGGTGGAGACCAGCAAGAAGGGGCTGTGTCAGGCCAGGGCTGAAAGGAAACAGCACCTTTGTCACCAGTCTGTGACATCTGAATCCCAACAAGCTGGGCTGGGCAGGAGGAGGACGGATGCTTCCCCGCTGGCTCTGTGTCCTGGTGTCTTGGCCGGCCCTGGCCACGCAGGGCTCGCTGTGCCGGGATGTACATGTTGTGTTGCTCTGCGGTGGACTGGAAGCTTGTGGTTCTGTTTGGGGAAAACCCTTAGAAGATGTCAATATAGCAAACTCATTTTTTGTCCCTTTAATTTTTTTCTTGAATGATAGGAAATGACTCAGCCAGGGTCATATGACAGCACAGCTGGGATTTCGTCCTGTGCTCTTGCTCCAACCTTCTCAATGGTTTCAGGGTGAGGGCCAGCCTTTGATTCTCGGCTCTG